ATTTAGGTTATCCTGTCAAATTTTGACAGTCAAAATAGTAAAAAATAAAAGGCCTGATAGTTTATTTAAATTGTTTATTTGAAAAGCAAAAATAAATGTATTATATTTTAAATTATTCAAGGTATTTACTAAACTAAACCAATTAACAATATAATAATGTATTCAAGTGAATTTTATCTTATTAAAGAACACAAATCAGTATAAAGTAATAATATTATGTACCACATTTGTGTAAGTACCTTGTTTTAATAAAATAGTTATAATTGAATAATACAATACAACCTTGTCATCATTGTGAAAAGTATGCATCATAACTTGACTGTTAGAGCAGCCCACAGCACAGCACAACACCATGTTAATGTTCAAATAATGTAGCAATATATAAAAAATAGAGTACACAGATAACGATAAATCGCAATTATAAAAGTTTTTAAGCGTACAGAACAAACCAAATAAACAATATGAATTTACAAAACTTTACAAAATTTATCAAACTGAAGTTTGTTGATTTCGTTACCAAGCAACCGTCAAGATTAACCGCCGCTCCTGCCACATGCAACTCGAGTGTAAACTAAAACCAAAGTCGACTAGACAAAAATGTGGATTTTGTTTGTTTAAGGCGAGTGCACAGGGCATGATCTTTATCGCTTCTCGGCCTATGGCTAAGATCAAAGTGTAGTTGGAGACCCTGCATGCCAATGGGATACCTGCCAGCTTCACCCGGATAGTTGCGGACATATACTCTGGCTGCACCGCGTCAGTCCGCACAGCAACAGGGGAGACCCCACCTGTCCCAGTCAACGCCGGAGTTCGCCAAGGATGCCCACTCAGCCCAGTCATCTTTAACTTGGCCCTGGAACCTGTCATCCGTGCCACCTTGAACCACAACATCGGCTTCAACATCGCCAACAACAAGGTGGCCGTGCTGGCCTACGCTGACGACCTGGTGCTGACGACAGAAAACCCGGAGGACATGCAGACGCTGTTGGACGTGGTGGGTACAACGGCATCCCGATGCGGGCTCCTCTTCAAGCAGGCGAAATGTGCTTCCCTGGACCTGGACTGTCGCCAAAGAAACCGTTGCCACAATTCCTCGTTCTCCATCCAAGGGGGACAGCTTCCAATACTGCAGGAGGGGCAGGCCTACGAGCACCTGGGTATACCAACGGGTTATCAAGTAGACCCAACACCTGAGGCCACTATCCAGAGGATGAGCGAAGAACTAAGGCTTCTCCACGAAAGCCTTCTAGCACCATGGCAGAAGATCGATGCCCTAAACGTCTTTATAACGCCAAAACTGAGCTTCATACTGCGTGGGACGCATGTGATGAAGAAGGACCTTAGGGCATTGGATCAATCCATTAAAAAGAATCTGAAGGACTGGATGAACCTGCCTCAGAGAGCCAGCCCGGACCTGCTCTACGTGCAGTGTGCCAAAGGAGGAACCAACACCGTCCCACTGTGCGACATGGCAGATGTTGCCACCATAATCCAGGCCTTCAAGATGCTAACGGCTCCGGACCCTCTAGTATCCTCCATTGCCCGTCACCAGCTGGAAGAAGCGGTCCGAAGGCGCACCCACAACCCCACTACAGCCGAAGATCTGGGCCGGTTCCTATCGGGGTCCTTGGATGGGGAAATGGGAAGGGACGGCGGTGACATAGCATCCCTCTGGACCAGAGCCAGAAATTCCACCCGCAGGCTGTCCTCCTGGGGCAACGGCATCTCCTGGGTATTCCACCAAGGCCCAACCATCCACCTAAGGCAGCCGGGAAGAAATCCGGACGTGGTCAAGGTGGACAGCAGAAACCGATCCAGGCTGGAATGGTACGTCAAGTCCACCATTAGGCGTACCTACGGCGGGGAGCTCGCGGCCAAACCAGACCAGGGAAAGGTCTTTAAAGCCTCCTCCAAATGGTCTGCAAGCAACCACTTCATGAGATCGGGTTTCGCTACAAGATTCTGCGACTGGCGCTTCATCCACCGTGCGAGACTCGGCTGCGTCCCCCTGAATGCCACCCGACGCTTTGGCGACGGCTGCCGAAGGTGCAGAAGATGCCAGGCCCACGATGAGACCCTGCCCCACGTACTTAACCACTGCAGGATCCACTCAGCAGCCTGGCAGAAGCGGCACAACGCCGTCCAGGACCGCCTCCTGCAGGCCATCCCCAGGAATCCCACCACCACCGTCACGGTCAACTCGCAGGTTCCTAACACCAACAGCAACCTGCGCCCGGACATAGTCCTTAAAAACGACGAGGCCAAGACCGTGACCATTGTGGACGTCTGCATCCCATTTGAGAACACGTACGATGCTCTGGAGTTGGCCAGGATGACCAAATTGGACAAATACCAGGGCATCGCAGATGTCCTCAGAGGTCAAGGATACCGGGTGACGCTGGACGCCTTCGTGGTTGGCGCACTGGGATCATGGGACCCAGCGAACGAGCCGGTACTGAGGACCCTGGGAGTCAACCGATTCTACGCGGGCCTCATGCGAAAGCTCATGGTGTCCGACACCATCAAATGGAGCCGGGATATTTACGTCGAGCACGTAACTGGGGTTCGACAATACGCGTGATATTCAATCTGTGATATATGTGATAATAAAAAGTGAATTATATGTATTTTCTATGTTCTACACTTTATTTTTTTTATTTGCTTGTTTGTTTATGTATTTTATATATTTTTGACACATGTATTGTATTATTTTTATATATTTATCTATGTTCTACTTGTACCTCTATGACTGAAAAATTATCTATTCTAAGACTTTATTGTAAATTTCTGTAACTTAATATTTTTTTAATAAATGTATCAATCTGTTCTTATCAGCTTAATATCTGATACGCACCGCATGCGGTGCCAGTATATTAAACTGATTTTTGGAAATTGACGGGAGTTAGGGGCTTGCTCCACTCCCGTCGCGGGTTGGCCCGGTATTGCAGTACCGCCGGGATCGGCCCATATTAATATAATTAAACTCAATAGACCTTAATGACTAGTATTATGGTATCATTGGTATATTAGAAATTGGAATTCCAATTTAGAATTATATAATTATAGAAAAACCATCATATAACGGCTCATTTTTTTGGAGTGTAAAGGCCCCCAATAAATTCATTTTTTTTAACCGTTAAAACCTATCGCGCAATAAATCTTTCGCCTTTTACTAAAGATTTCCGTGGAGAGGTACAACTCAAATGAGTCTATAAACAATTTTTTGTTGGCCTGACGAAAGTCGGGCCCTGTTAAATAATTAAAATACAAACTTTTCTAAATATTATGTTAATATTAATTTAAAAGTAGAACATAACAAACAACCAGCGTTGCCAACCCGCCGCGGCGCGCCGTGGAGAAAGAATAGTATCAAGTTCGTGAAATTATCGTATCGGATCGTATTCTACTTGAAAAAATATCGTATGCACGATCGTATCATCCAAAAACTTAAAACTAGCTTTTATTTTAATAAAATCCACTAATGGTCGTTTTTTTTTATCACTACGGATACTAACAATATATCATGTACGGACCAAAATTTAAGGTTACATTAAAACGCAATCCGTACTGTCGAATCTTTTTTTGTAAAATGGCCTTTGCTTGGGACAGAGGCAGCCTTGTTTTGCGCAGTTTTCGCTAAAGGAAAATCCTGAATAATTATCGTATATCGTATAAGGAAAAATTACGATCGCATCAGACCTCGAAATTATCGTATAATACGATAATTATCGTATCATTGGCAACGCTTGTTTATCATAGTGTGTTGTTTGAAACAACACACTATGATAAACAAGTTGTTGTGTAAAAAGGCAATTTTAAAATGTTAAAAATTTATTGAAAAATAAAAATATTGAAATAATAATAATAATCTTAACTGGTGGTGGGGTAGATCTTTGAGGGCGACGACGTCGCCTCGACGTAGTAAAGTTACCCGTCGAAGTAACCACAGGAAATAGTATATTACACTACAAGGGCAGAAAGTGTGAGATTCCCAGTTCAGGGCTCTCACACTTTCTGCCCGTGTAGTGTATACTATTTTTCTTGCTACCCGGCCGAAAATACAACCCAACCCAACCCGGCCGAAAATACGGGAAAAAATTAAATGTGTATATCGAAACATATTGATGCCTGCCCCGACATTTGCGGCACGAGCGAAGCCTTCGTAGCCCTTGTAGTGTAATATACTCGAAAATACGTTGTTTCGTCCCCGATTCCAATGCATCAAACGTAAATTTGACCAATGCATCAAACGTAAACTTTCTGCCGTGGAATCGGGGACGAAACAACGTATTTTCGGCCGAGGTAGTAAGAAAAAACTTTTTCTACTTCTTTACCTCCTAAAGTTAAAGGAGAAGTATTAAGACCGGTGCACCACCGCGATGATTGGAAGGATGTTACTAATATGGAATTTGATATGAAAGATCAGAAAAGTTAGATATGAAAGATAATTGGTTTAGTTATGCAGAGCATTAAATAATACCAATGGTACCTCGTCGCCCTAATATTACAACATGTTACTATTTACATATTTTGAGTAAAACGTAAAACAAAAAAAGCCCATCAGCCTTTAGGTACATACAGTCAATATTTTTTACTTGTGATTTTGCTTTGAGCTGATTTCATATGCAATCTTAGTAAATTCTCATGTTTATTTTGACTCAATTGTTGTTATATTCAAAATTAGTAAAATTTTGAAAAAAAAACATACAACTTTGTACATTTTTTAATTATATTTATTGATTATTTACGTTACATAGAACTATGATATTTTAATTAACTTAAATATTTTAATTACCGTAAACTTCAAAATTAGAACTAAACTGAAAATATAAAAACTACAAAAGAAAAATATAAAATTTTTTAACAAATGGTCTAATAAATAAATACACAGTTAATAGAAATTAGCATGATTATTCAATTTTTTTGTGTTTTTTGTGCTTTTTTGTGCTTTTTAACTACTGCCGTTTTAGTTTGTCCTGAACAGCTCGGCTTTGGTAAAATCACTTTTTCATCTTTTTTCCTGTTTCATTTACTACTGCCGTCTGGACGCTTGAACTGCTCTGCTTTGGTAAAATCGCTTTGTAATATTCTAGATCTACCTTGGGCATCCAGGGAAACATACTTCTTATAGCTTGTACTTTCTTTTCAGGCAGTTTTATCTTATAACGGGGTTGCTTTACTTGGGCGATGTTATCGTTGGTTGCTCCCTTTCTCATCTTCTGTCGAAGATTAACGGTTGTGAAGATGTTTTGTAAAAAAGAGGTTTTGTACTTGATTTGAAAAAGAGTTTTTGTTAGCTCTAGCGATGTTACCTTTGAGAAAGGAGCTGCGTCATAGTTAACGTTTTGCGCATTAACTTGAAATTCCATAAAGTCTGATGCTTGCAGCTGTATAAGCTTGTAGGGTTTGCGTTCTTTAACATTTTTTAGTGCACGTAATAATGAAACTGGGGAATAATATTCGGTAGCTCTTAAAGCTTTTTCAATGCAACTATACATATATGTACCGCATCTACATCTTGAAGAGCATAATGACCTGGCACAGAAAATTGAAAACATGACATACAACCTTGTAATATTAGGGTGACGACCTGCTGATGGTACTCTACAAGAAAAACTACATTCCCGTGACCTAGATAAAAACTCGGTTGTCCACCATGGTATTGGGCTAGAAAGCTTATAGAATATATAGAATTAAGACCTTTCTTATGGATTCTAGAAAGCCGCTTCTGTAGTGAAAAAGTGTAGTATTAGAGCTACAAAATATCCAAAGGATATACTTTCAGGACCAATTTACTAGAATTTTATGGAAATTTGTCAATTGGTTTATATTTTGTCTTTCTAATTGTTCTTGTAAAAAACACGTATTTTCCTATACAGTATAGAAAAACATGGTTTCTTTATAAACCGCTTCAATGACCCTGCGCTAAACATCAATTCTAGTTTTGCCCAGCGTCCCTAGGTGGCGTCCGTTACTGTTACATTTCTCTCGCTTGTGATAGTTTAACACATTTGCTTAAAAGATGAGGTAGAATGCAAAATCTTTATCGCTTCTCGGCCTATGGCTAAGATCAAAGTGTAGTATCTGTTCTTATCAGCTTAATATCTGATACGCACCGCATGCGGTGCCAGTATATTAAACTGATTTTTGGAAATTGACGGGAGTTAGGGGCTTGCTCCACTCCCGTCGCGGGTTGGCCCGGTATTGCAGTACCGCCGGGATCGGCCCATATTATTATAATTAAACTTAATAGACCAGATCTTAACGAGTATTATGGTAGTATCCTGATAACAGTATTAGAAATTTTAATGGGTTTTTTTAGGAGTGTAAAGGCCCCCAAAGACTTCATTCTTTTTCAACCGTTCCTATACCGTAAACACGGGTGGCTTTAGCTCACTTTCAAACTTAACACGTTAAACGCCACGGCGATTTTGGTGATTTTGTTTATTGGGCCAAGTTGATATTTTACTTGTATCATTTTAAAAAATAAAATCGTCAAAATACAGATTAAAAAATAAATAATTAAAAAACTCTTGTATCTTCGTCAGCCGTCAGGGCCAAGCGGTCCTATGCATGCTTTAAAATACCTTATACGAGCGGTCCGCTGGCCAGAAAATCATGTTAAACTGTTAAACAAAAAATTGACAGGCGGTCCCTAGGGACCGCCGTGGCCTGGATGGAAAAACTATTAGCGGTCCCCTGGGACCGCCGTGGCCGTTAACGTGTTAAGCTTAAAATTTTTGTGGTTTTAACAATCATAAATATTAAATTTTGTATACCAAAATTTGAGTCTTGAGTTGATCTTTCATAATAACTATGTTATAATATTACATCCGGCTGAGTTTCAAAAATAAAAATTAAAAACTGGGTGTGCAAAGTTACCCCCTGGTTGCGGGTAACTTTGTCTCACAGTGTATTTTCCGTATAAAATTAACTCAATATTTTATTTTATTTTTATTAGACACGTGTTAGTAGCGACATATATAAAAATAAAAAATCGACCTTTAGTTAACCAAGGATCTTCATTCCAAAAAATTGCGCATAATATAGAAATTGTAACGCGAGTATTTTTAAGAGTTTTGCACTGATGCGATATATACAATTTTAAAGTGTAATAAATCCCATTTCTTTCTTTAAAACACTGATTTTCCTGTAATATAAACTCAATAGAATCGCTCAATTGACAGGTTTAGACCAACAAATTATAAATGTTAATTTTATCGAGCGCGAAAAGATTTTTCCATAAAAGGGTTAAAGTCACCCGCGGGGTGCAAAGTCATCCGTGTTTACGGTACTTTAATAATAATAACAGGAACCCATCGCGCATGCTTGTCACTGCATCTCACCGCTGTTAACAACTGTTCAGGCAATATAAGGGAAAGGCAGGTCATCAAAAAGCATACTTACCTGGCGTAGAGGTCAACCTTGATCAATAAGGCGGTTCCTCCGAGGCGAGGCCTGTCCATTGCACCACGGTCGGGCTGACCCTTGCGATTATCCCTAATGCGGATAACTCGGGCGCATAATTTTTGGTAGTCGGGACTGCGTACGCGCTGTCCCGGTGTTAAGAAATAAAAATGTAATTATTTAAAACTACTAGGTAGGTACTTCAGTTTCTTTAAAGTATTTTTATAGGTTGTTTGGGTTGGCTTGACGATTAGATAAAAATAATCATAAAATATAATTTTATGTAAAGGCGAAGTCGTTAGATACAGTTCGGTTTTAAAGGAAGTAATTTTCTTCATAGATTTAAAACCTGTTTTTCGACATACGTATCGCTTATGCCATCGCTCCATGGCTAGTGCGCCTGGGCGTGGAAATACAAAACAATGTCTGAGTTTGATCCGTAAATTAATGATGAAAGTTACTTATTATAAAAATCGAACTTTAGGTATATAATCAACAACATATTCTTGGTGCAAAAAGCTGTTAACTCATTTAGCTTTCAACTGATTTTTTCCAACACCAAGAGCTTCAAAAAAAGTAATTTACTTGAAGTAGGGTAAACAACATTTTTAAGTTTTTGTGTTCTAAAGCACAGAAACCGGAAGGCCTGTTTAAAAAAATGTAAACATAAATTATCAAGTAAATAAATATACAAAGAAGCATGTAGACTTTTATTATTTTTCAAAATTTTTTTTGCCCCTGTGTGCGCCGCAACCCTGGGTAGCGACGCGTCGCGTCGGCCCTTGTTAAATAATTAGGTTTACAATTTAAATTTAATGTTTAAGTCTTTTTTTATGCCGTAATTTACAAAAAACAAAAATTGGTTAGTATTTTTATGAAATAAGTTATTACAAAAAAAAATTGGGTAGATACTTATTATATATTATACTTGAAAAAGGACAACTTTGGTGATATGTTAAACAAATATTAGAAATTCCCCTATTCCCCAACACCAAAACCAAACACAACGTGCTTAAAGTACTTTTTGCCAACGATGTTGGCATCTTCAAAAGCGAAGTTTCACTGTGGATATTATTTAAAATATTTATTCTTTGCCTTGGTTTCTTATCAAAAACAAAAAAGTTAAGGTAACAGTAAATAAACATAAGCATACGATTTATTTCCACTTTCTAAAAAAATGTCGTGCCCAGCCCATTTGTAGTCGAAATTTAAAATTACCCATGTTGCCACATTGTTAAAATACAGTTAGGTATTTTTATAGTAGGTAACGTATTTATAAACAATTATACCACAATAACGGACTACTAATTAGTTGAAAGTTATCTTAATTTTTTATAAAAACGTACCTAAATTAATCTAATATTAAAATGTAAATAATTTGTTTTCAAATATAAATAAATTACCTATATACCTAATATGTTTCTGAGGATTAAAAGTGAATTTTTAAATTTTTCGATTACCAACAAAGTAATTTTACCTAAAAAACGTGGATTATGTTATCTAGGTACATTGTTGATACATGTAAACATCGCCTTTATCAGTATAAACCGTAACCAATCCCAAGGCAGCAGGATGAATCACGGCAACACAGCGTGCGTGAAAGAATAACAAACAGTTAACACACCTTTTCAGCGGGCGCGCTGATGACGTTTACCGCACGAACACGCTTCAGTGACGTCACTATCACGACACAGCTCTTGGATATCATCCTGTGTCCACGTGAACAGCATGCGAGCGATCACGCGGCCGCTGGCTGATCGGTGCTCGCCCATTGGCCGCCGACGACGAGCCCCCGTTTCCGATTGGCTGGCGCGGACCCTGTGCGAGCCGCACACCCCAAACCAGCGTGCACAGAGCAATAACATCGAGAAACGTAGAGCTTCTTTCAAAATACTGATTTCATTTTAAATGGTACATCGGAAGAGTTAATACGTGTTGTTACTGTTCACTTTGAAAAAACGTTTTTGTTAATTTAAGTGTTGTTTAGTTTGTTAATCATGGAGGCTATTGTTTTGTCGCCGCCAAATACACCCCCGCTCAAAAATGTAAGCATAATTTTTGATTTAAATTAAATATTATTGCAAATTTGCCAAATAAATCTATGTTTTCTCTTAAAAAAACTATTGTTACTTTAATTATGTATTGGCGCAACAAAAACTTTTCATATTAGTAAACAATAGGAAATTCCATACAAAATTCAAAGTCTATTCAACATTACAACTTAGGTAACTAATCCACATTGTTTTTTTTTACAGATATCTGAAGATGAGTCTTCTCAACCTGCAGTCTTCCAACATCAAACCACATTCATCGGAAACAAACGATCTGTAGCGGTTGCCTTTCCCAACATTTTGACGCCACAACCCTCCGACTCGGAATCAGAGGAGTTGGATTGCCATCAAATTAAAAGAAAATGTTTGAATGACAGCGAATTAGCGAGACAGTTAATGCGGCTAACGCCTCCTCCAGAATTGGAAAGAAGCGCACCTTCGCGAACTGTCTCAGTTATAATGAAAGCAAACAAAGACGGTACATGCATCCCGATGCGAATCCCTCAGGAACACCCCAAGGAAGAGAACATTGTCAGGAGTTTAAAGTTCAAGATGGGCAATAGAAGAAAGGAGTTCACCTATGAAGCACCAAAAGAGGATGTGCGCGAAAAAGAAGTGAGAATACAGCCTAAATTGTCTGTACCAATGCACATAGCTCCAAAGTTCATTCAAACTCAACAACCAACGATCTTCATTTCAACTGATGGTCCCGTACCTACTCAAATAGTTCTTCTGGCACCCCCACAACAAATACCACCAGTTCGCAGAAGAGTTTACGAGTGCAAACATCCTGGTTGCACCAAAAACTACTTTAAATCCTCCCATCTGAAAGCCCACAACAGGATTCACACAGGCGAAAAACCTTTCGTTTGCCAATTTGAAGACTGCGGCAGGAAATTCTCGAGATCAGACGAGCTGTCTCGGCATAAGCGCGTTCACACGGGAGAGAAAAAGTTCAGATGTGAAGTTTGTGATAGGCGGTTCATGCGGTCCGATCATTTGGCGAAGCACGTCAAAAGACACGCCAAAGAAAAAACCGCCGTGAGTAGTAAAGCTGGTCTGGTTCCTGCTGTACTCAGGCCGCTGCAACCTGCACCGTTGGTGTTGCAGCAGTAAGTTGATGAAAGAAAGACTGTGTTAAGTTTTGCAAAGTTTATTGCATACAACTATATGACTGATTAGTAGGATAGTGTTCACTAAGTGAACTTCACTTGTATATAGACATTCCAAGATCATTAACCATTTAAAAAAAAATTATCTGTGATTTTAGTAATAGCGACAATATTTATTTTAATTGTAGTATTGTTTTTATAGAGAAAAGATTAAAATTTATTATTAATACATAATAAACAAGTTTTTTATAAATACCCATTGCTTTTATTTAATGACCTCATAACTAGAAACTTTTTCATTCATGTTTGATGATAATATGTAATGGGAAATAAATGACTCAATGGAAAAATTAAGGGGTTTTTAAATAACAAAGAAGCTTCTTCTGTAATCATGACAAAATACACACTTTAATAAAAGTAGGTCCCAATAACAATACATTTCGTAATAAACTAAGTATTTATTAACATAAACAATAAAAATTGTGATCATGAAAAATTTACAAAATCAACATTGGTTTACAATGTATACTTACTATACATACCTATTTAAATACCTACATAGGTAATAATTTTTTAAATCACCTTAATATTCTTTGTTTTGACCACAATAGTATATGTGTATCAAGTTTGATAAACGCCAATTTAGTCACGAATTTAATTTAAACACAAGCGAGCTAGCGAGCAAGTGCTTAATTAAATGAGTGCCTAGAAAAGTTTATAAACGAGTTGCATACTATACTTTTTTTACGCAAATACTTAATATTATTTAAAAAAAAAAAAAATTGTAGAAAAAAATCGCACAGTGGTTCGAAATAAAAAAAACGCATTAAAACATATATTTAAAAAAGGAGAAATCTACATAAAACGTACTGGTCTAAATTATTTTTGCAGCCTAGGAGATAATCGACTAATTTGGTACAATAATAATGCTTAAATTATAGAACGCTTGAAGATAAAAAATAATATTTTGTTTGTAAAACGCAAGAATCGTATTGTTTGTAAAAATACTACTAAATTTTTAATATAAAAAAATAAATTTTAATAAACAACGTTTTATTTTACATTCAAAGCGACACTTCGTTAATATGTATTCATCTAATGTTGATTTATTGCACACAGATGCAAGATGCAATTAAGTTACAACGTTTAAATTATTAAAATCGATAAAAATAAATAATTGGCAAATTACGTTTGGGAAAACAAATCTCCATGTTCCATTAACATTTTCAATAAAAAGTAATAAAAAAGACTTCTTAAACAAAGTAAAAACAATGTAGTTACTTAAAAATCTAAAAAATGTATTAGACTCCCAGACTGCAATGAAGGTTCGAAAATATTCCAGGAATATTCCCTATCGCCTAGGAATAATCCGCTTCATTCTAGGAATATTCATTGGGAATATTCCTAGAATGATCTTCTAAAACTTCCAAGCATTATCTAAGAACATTCCCAGTGAATATTCATTAGTTTAGTTGCAATACCTCTCACCGTTGCTTACGCACGCTTGATAACTATAGTATATATATATATACCGATAGGTTAATAATATCAGTTGGAAATGTGCGTCTGTGATGGCACAGCTAAACAATGATTAGAGTGGGACTGATCTACTCAGTAACTCAATAATGGCTATACTTAAGTTAAGTTCCTGGGTATAAGAGGCAATCAGGGCTGGGAATAATCCCCAAATTATATCAAGGAATATTCCCCTAACAATCCTTGAGTCTTCTGCAGGCACATATATGGAATATTCTTTTTATGATGCCTGGGTTAACCAAAAAGCGGACATTTGATTATGCCAGGAATATTCCTGGGAATATTCTGGGACGCTTGGAATATTCCTGGGAATATTCCTGACATGTGCAGGGAATGTGATTTTGCGGTCTGGGCTGGGCCAAAAATATCGACTATATTTCGAAAATTTGGTTTGGGGTGACAAAAAAATTATTGTGAGAGTTTGAGTCCACAATATTAATATTAAGAGTTTAACAAAATTGACTTGATATTTTTTAAAGGAAATTGAATGCTCTAAAAAATTTTCTGTCAGATGAACCGTTTCCTTAAAATCATGCCTTAAAAATTGGTCTAGTTTTACATTTTGATCTTTTAACTTTGAAATTTTGTAATTCATGTAAAAATCAGTACCCGGAAAAAAACCGATGAATAGGTATTTTTATGGGAAATGCTCTACAAAAAAGTCTCCTAACATTTTTGGCTAAATTCACTCAATTAAAAGTTATTCAAGGTTAAAGTTAAAGCCAAAACAAAATTCTTGTTTTTCCTCTGTAGATTTATTTTTTTATGGATGATAATTTGATTTTTTTCTTTTTAAATGTATATTACATAACTAATTAACAATTTCCAATAAAAAACAACATGATTGTTATTATTTAAACAATTCAATAAAAAATTCGAATGTGTTATTTTTTTTTAATTTTCAGTAATTTTATCAATAACAAAAAGATTATCATCGATAAAAGAATTCAAGTTTTTAACTGACCCAAAAAAAATCTACAACGGAAAAAACCAAAAATTTCGTTTTGACTTCAAATTTAACCTTGAATAACTTTTGATGGAGTGAATTTAGCCAAAAATGTTAGGAGACTTTTGTAGAGCATTTGACTTCCATAAGAATATCTATCGGTTTTTTCCGGGTACTGATTTTTAAATAAATTACAAAATTCCAGTTAAAATATCAAATGGTAAATTTTTAAGGCATTCAATTTTCTTCAAAAAATATTCTTAAGTCAATTCAATGGTTTGGGAGTTGAGACAAAAACTCCCTCAGGAAAAAAAATCTAAAATTGCGATGATATATTAATATTATGGACTCAAACTTTCACCATAATTTTTGTCACCCCAAACAATATTTTTGATATACTTGGATAACACGCAAAAACACGTATATTGACATTTTTGTGGGCTTTTTAATCATATTAAAAAAAAAACCTAACCCCATGGTGAACTTATTTTTTTTTAATGGGATGATACTACTTGTTGCACCTTGTTAGAAAGATCTTTTAAAAATAATATTGACTGTGCAATTTTTTGTTCAGTTTAATTTGAGAGTTCATTTTTAATAAAAAAATCAAACTAAAAAAAATCTAAAATTACAAACTTTCGCAAACAGATTTTTTTAGCTTTGAGTAGTTTTACCTCTTTAGGTAGGTTATACGTTGCATACCTTTATAAGTTAATGCGCTTAATTAAAATATTAGACAAATTGTATGGTCTATTTATTTTTGTAATTTTAGATTTAAATATATAAAAATTTTTAATTATAAATTTAACTATCAAATAAAATGAGAAAAATGTGCAATTTTCTTTTTAAAAGAGCTTTCCAACAAGGTGCCACAAGTAGTATCATCCCATTAAAAAAAAAGAAGTGGGGAAAATTTCAACATTGTCTGTGAAACTTTCAGAAATTTCATTGAAAATTTCGCAATTTACTGAAAATTTCGCATAAATTTCACATGCGGCCTCCCCTGGGACCTTTAATAATAATTTACAACAGATTCCGAATCAACCAATAAGAACGAGTTATCAAGCGTCTGGGCGTTTTTGTCTAGTTAGGCTGTACGTAATTATTGTTACTTATATGCATAAATTAATTTAAATAATTTAATTTAGTTACCAATTTAGTTTGTAAATTAAATCAGACTTTAAATTTTTTTTAAAGTCATAACTAATTTAAAATTTTTCTTTTGCTATAATTGCATCGAAAAACGGATAAAAAATGCATTCGGCAATTTTCGTAAACTTTCACTAAAATATATAAAAATAATAAATATATATAAATATAAAACAATGAAAGTGGCACAATCTCATTACCTTTAATATTAATATATTACACTTAAAGTGATTGAAATTTATTGAAAGTTTCAATAAATTTCAGAAAATTTCAGAAATTTAGGAAATTTTAATAAATTTCATAAATTTCATAAAAATTTCAAGTGAAATTTCAAGTACAAGCAAAAAATGAAATTTTCCCAACCCTAGTCCCCACCCTAATATGTTCTAAAACTGCTAAAAAATTTACAAAACCAAGATGTTTTAATCATTGGTAACAAAATGCCCTTACTCTCTAAAAATGTATATGTATATTTGGGTGCATGGTCCCTATTTCTGTGGGTAAAAGGCATAAGGGGATAAATAAAAAAAGTCAATTTTTTAGAAGTGCCTTAAACGTGTTCGCATTAATTTAGGAAATATATTTATGGTTAGCGGGTATATATACCCGCTAACCATAAATATATTTCCTAAATTAATGCGAACACGTTTAAGGCACTTCTAAAAAATTGACTTTTTTTATTTATCCCCTTATGCCTTTTACCCACAGAAATAGGGACCATGCACCCAAATATACATATACATTTTTAGAGAGTAAGGGCATTTTGTTACCAATGATTAAAACATCTTGGTTTTGTAAATTTTTTAGCAGTTTTAGAACATATTAGGGTGGGGACTAGGGTTGGGAAAATTTCATTTTTTGCTTGTACTTGAAATTTCACTTGAAATTTTTATGAAATTTATGAAATTTATTAAAATTTCCTAAATTTCTGAAATTTTCTGAAATTTATTGAAACTTTCAATAAATTTCAATCACTTTAAGTGTAATATATTAATATTAAAGGTAATGAGATTGTGCCACTTTCATTGTTTTATATTTATATATATTTATTATTTTTATATATTTTAGTGAAAGTTTACGAAAATTGCCGAATGCATTTTTTATCCGTTTTTCGATGCAATTATAGCAAAAGAAAAATTTTAAATTAGTTATGACTTTAAAAAAAATTTAAAGTCTGATTTAATTTACAAACTAAATTGGTAACTAAATTAAATTATTTAAATTAATTTATGCATATAAGTAACAATAATTACGTACAGCCTAACTAGACAAAAACGCCCAGACGCTTGATAACTCGTTCTTATTGGTTGATTCGGAATCTGTTGTAAATTATTATTAAAGGTCCCAGGGGAGGCCGCATGTGAAATTTATGCGAAATTTTCAGTAAATTGCGAAATTTTCAATGAAATTTCTGAAAGTTTCACAGACAATGTTGAAATTTTCCCCACTTCTTTTTTTTTAATGGGATGATACTACTTGTGGCACCTTGTTGGAAAGCTCTTTTAAAAAGAAAATTGCACATTTTTCTCATTTTATTTGATAGTTAAATTTATAATTAAAAATTTTTATATATTTAAATCTAAAATTACAAAAATAAATAGACCATACAATTTGTCTAATATTT